ATTTAAATTAATTAAATAATTTTTTTTTAAAAAAAGAAAAATTTCTTTAACCCAAGTGGGGTGGGAAGGTGTTTGAAAACCAATGGCTTGCTCCAATCTTTTTATTTTAAGGAATTGGAAGTTAATAATTTTGTAGTGTATCGTATTTCTAAGTTGACTTGTACTTAGTCTTCAGAATGACTAAATAGGTAAAATGCTCTAACATCTCAGATGGAGAAATTCAGTAAATTTTTAGACAAACAAAAAAAGAGGTTTAAGTGTGTCAAAAACCTTCAAGTGTCTTCAGTCAGTAAGAGTGCTTAGGTATTTGAGTTCAGTTATGAATTTGTCAACTTAAAGGATTTCGCTGTTTCTTTACAGATTTTGATAAGTGAAGACAGTAATAGCTTTGAGGCCGCAGACCAGTGGAAAGAGACAGTGACAAATCCAGAAAAAGTTGTTATCAAGTGGCACAGACTAAATGCATCTTGAAGATTTTGCATCTTTACTTGGCGACGACCTTCAGGTTTCTTTTAGAAGACTTTTTATTTTCCTTTGCTACCAATGAAGAGACCATTTGAATACTTGCTCAATGTTTTTCCGAAAGCCATAATTGTAGAGCTTAATGGATCTGTTAAAAATAATTAATCCTGATGAAACATAGAATTATGTCAAATGCCCAATGTGAATATTTAAAAACTGGGCTCAACATAGAATAAAAGACAGTGTTACTACAGCATCTAACTAAATGATAAAACGAAAATCAACAAAACACTCAATCACAGATAATCATTATTGTATTATAGTATGGGGGTTTTTTTTAGGGTAGTTTATTTTTTTAAACTTGGCTTATTCAAAACCTAGTATGCCAAGCCTCTACTAGGACTACCAGGGCCTTTTTTAACAATGACTAGGTATCATTGATTAGATCTGAGTTCCACTGTTTACCTATTTGCAAAGACTTTTCTCTCACAAAGGGAAAATGAATGAAACCTTTTTCCAGCCTTTCTTGTGTGAAGGAAAGTTGGTGTCCCGTGTTTAGTAATACTTCTTTCAGAAGTAGAAAAAAACATATTTGACACATACAGATAACACCAGAAGATTGATGTTTGATTGAAAACCAGAGGAATAACATTGCTTTGGCTCTCAATATTTCACTCTTGGTTTAACTGCAAGTTGAAATAAGGTTACTATCCGTATGGCTCACGCTAATTAGCAGGATGAAATTCAGCATTTAATGGTATCCACATCCTTGTTTTTATATTTCATCAATATAACTCTTTTTTAAAATTTTTTTAATTTTAATGAACATTTACAGAGATGTTGGATTTCCATTCATTCATTGTTGCAATTTCCCCCTGCTCACCCGTCTCCCAGTTCACTCTTTTCTTTGATTGATATACAAATTCTTTCATTGATATACAATTATCCCACCCACCCACCCCGAGTACACTTCACTATACAACCTTCATTCTGAACTCTTGTTATAATTGTAATACCCAATCATATATAACTTTTAAACTGTTCTCTCCCTCATCTGTTTCAATGCAGTATACATTATTGAACCCATCTTTCTCGGTCTCTCCCCAAGTCCAAGCTCAGTCTTGTTTTACAACAGTGGCACATGCAGTATTTGTCCTTTTGTGACTGAGATACTTCACTCAGCATAATGTCCTCCAGGATCACCCATTTTGAATAATATTTCATGAGTTCCTTGTTTTTCAATGCAGCATACTATTCCATTGTGTAGATATACCACAGCTTCTCTTTCCATTCGTTTGTTGATGGGCACTTAGGTTGTTTCCAACTCCTTGCTATTGTGAATAAAGCCGCAAGAAACATGGATGTGCATATATCTGCTTGGATGACAGTTATGGTCTCTTTGGGGTATATTCCCAGTAGTGGAATTGCTGGGTCAAATGGTATCTCTATTTGCAACTTTTTAAAAAAGTGCCATACAGCCTTCCATAGTGGTTGCACCATTTTACACTTCCACCAACAGTGAATAAGGATTCCAGTTTCTCTGCAACCTCGCCAGCATTTGTTGTTTGCTGTTCCTTTAAATTTTCTATTTTTACTGGGGTGAGATGATATCTCAGAGTTGTTTTGATTTGCATCTCTCTTAGAGCTAGGGATTTTAAACATTTCTTCATGTGTTTTTGGTTATCTGAATGTCTTCTTTGGTGAAGTGTCTGTTCATATCCTGTGCCCATTTTTCAGTTGGGTTATTTACCTTTATGTTGTTGTAGTGCTCGAGTATTTTATAAATTTTAGATATAAGTCCCTTATCAGACATGTCATTACCAAATATTCTTTCCCCGTCTGCGGCTTTCCTTTTTACTCTGTTGGAGAAGCTTTTAGATGTGCAAAGGGATTTGATTCTTAGAAGGTCCCATTCATCTTTTATCCTCTCCTGGTTGTAGATTTTTCAGGATGCTTGGAAGACTGTTTATATTGTAGATTAGGACTTCTAGAGTTCTTCCAAGCTTTTCTCTAATGAAGTTTATAGTCCTTGGTTTTAGTCCCAGGTCCATGATCCACCTTGAGCTGGTTTTTGGTATATGGAGTGAGGTGTGGATCTTGCTTGAGTTTTCTGCAGATAGTTTTCCAATTTTGCCAGCACCATTTGTCAGAAAGGTTATCATTTCCCCACTTAACTGATTTCATCTCTTTGTCAAAAATGACTATTGGTAGATGGGCTGATTTCTGGATTTTCTATTCTATTCCAATGATGTATATCTCTGTCATTATCCCAGAACCATGCTGTCTTGACCACCACAGCAGTGTAGTAGGTTTTAAAATCAGGGAGTGAGATGCCTCCTTCTTTATTTCTCTTTTTAAGGAGTGCTTTGCTTATTTGGGACCTCTTTCCATTCCAAATTAAATTGGAGATTACCTTTTCCATTCCATTGAAGAATGGAATTGGTATTTGTATTGGGATTGTATTGAACATGTAAATTGCCTTTGGTAGTATTGTTATTTTCACAATATTGAGTCTTCCTATCCATGAACAAGGGATATTCTTCCACTTCTCCAGGTCTCTTCTTGTTTCTTAGAGTAATGTTTTAGAATTTTCTTTGAATAGATCCCTTGTGCTTCTGGTTAGATTTACTCCCAGGTATAATCTTGTGATTAGCAATTGTGAAGGGTATTGTTTTTCTAAGCTCCAGTTCTGTTTTCTCTTTGTCACTATAAAGAAATCCAGATTTTTGTATGTTGAAATTGTATCCTGCCACTTTGCTGAATTGGTCAACTATGTCCAGTAGTTTTCTAGCTAAGTCGATAGGGTTTTCTAAGTATATTATCATCTCATCTGCATATGGGGATAATTTCACCTTCTCTTTGCCAATTTGGATACCTCTTATTTCCTTGTCTTATTGCTATCACTAAGACTTCTAATACAATATTGAATAGGAGAGGTGATAGTGGGCATCCTTGCCTAGTTCCTGTTCTCAAAGGGAATGCCTTTAATCTTTCTCCACTGAGAACAATATAATTTACTTACTTTATAATCTGTAATTTTGTCTTTTTTTTTTATAACTATATCTGGCAGTTGTTGTTATTATGTGCCATCTAATCACCTGTGACTCAGGGACCTATGTACGACAGCCCTAAACCCTGCTCTATCCTGTGCCAATCTTATTGTTTCCAATACACCTACGCCCATTACCCCAGTCACTAAATCAATTCATCTCATCGAGATCTTCCTCTCCTGCACTCAACCCTCCCAAGCATGACGTCCCTTTCCAAGGACTGGTCCCTCCTGTCCAAAATATGTCAAACAGAGCTTCTGAATCTGCCTCCAAAGAGCAAGCTGGCTTCACCCTCTCCAGAACAGACTTATTTGTTCTCCTAGCAGTCCATGATATAGTCAACACTCTTCTCCAGCACCACAGCTCAAAAGCATCAATTCTCCTTCTGTCATCCCTAGTCATTGTCCAGCTTTCCAATGCACAGCAAGTACTTGCAAAGACCATGGCCTGAATCAGGCACACCTTAGTCTCTGGACTGACATTGTTGCTCTTCAGTATCTTGGATAGGTATCTGACAGCAGACTTTCCCAATGCAATATTTCTTTTAATTTCCTGACTGCTGTTACTGTGTAGCAAAAACAGACTTCCGATTGTTACATTTTTCAGGAACCCCTTAGATTTCAGGATGTGTGGGTTGTAGCTGTCTTGGCTTTATGAACTATTGCCAAAGGAGCAGCTTTCTGGAGAAATAAGTACCATGTATGAATTTGGGAAAATTTGATTTGACTTTTGCTAACAAACAGGCTCTATACTAGGAATTTGCTGTCTTCCTTTTTTTTTCTTTATCCAACTCCTGCCAAGAGAGATGTTGTTACGCCAGGAGATATATGGTAATATTTTAATTCAAATTAGACCCTCCTTAAGCAAGGAACCCTAATGGCATCGTGGTTATGCACTCGGCTACAACTGGAAGCTGGCAGTTTGAATACACTAGTCATTCACAGAAGAAAGACAAGCCCATTGCCTCCATCAGGGCCATGGAAACCCTTTGGGGCAGCTCTTCTCTGTTCTGTGGGGTCCTGTGTGTTGAGATAGTCTCATAACACCTAACAACGAAGAACTTAAAGAGTCCCCTCCCCTTTGTTCTCTTTCCTGTATTCTGTAACTTTCATGAAAATGTTCCCAAATACTTAAATCTGTTTCCTATGCACCATGCTCTCAAGTGACCAAATACACATATTTGATTATCCCCTTTGCTGCTTCTGCCTTGATACTGTAGTATGATGGTAAACCTGTCACTGTGCATTTGAAATACCTTTTTTAAAAAAAAAGTTGTGAAAATTGGCATCTCCACAGTACTCACATAAACCTGTCAAAGATAGAATCTTGTATTTTTTGAAACTTTGACAGGAGTGCAGCTGTGTAAATGGCCACCACAGAGGCTGATAAGCTAAAGCTATATCCTTTTGGTATTAAAGAAGATGTTTTACTGGTTTTACAAGTCTATAATTATATTTTAGTAGTATTCTGTGTTCCACTAACATTTACCGTCCTTATATTCTAATATTTAGAGTCATATATTTAACTCAGTTATTGGTAATATTTTTTTTTTGCAATATGTGTACAATGTATAATTTGTGGAGAACACTTTGGCTTCTTGACTTTTTGTGTCTTAGAATCCGAAATATATTTAAAATGCCAATAAGAAGACTTTTGTCATTCAAAAGATGTTTCAGAAAAGTATAGTCTCAAATGTTTTAATCAACTTCCACTTAAGTGTCTGGTGAGGGGATAATGGATACAGCTGGCATTTCACTTGACAAGCTTCCTTGACGTTTTGCTTGGAACTATAAAAACACAGCATTCTCTTAAAGGCTGCAAATATTATGAGAAAAACTGTAGGAGCTGGTAATCAAAAGGCAGAGATGGTTCAAAAATCACTTCTTTTTGTATTTGCTTAGGTTTTTCTTCTCTTTGCCTGCTTATAACAAGAGGAAAGGAAGCCAAATGATGTTGGGT